TATGCTTTTCTATAACAAATTGATGCTCCTTCCCAAGTGAATATGTTTAGCCTCTGCGCAACAAAGCCAAACACCTATTATTCCACTGTATCACTATGCACGTCTGCATTGCTCCGCACCCCAAAATGCAGTCTTGAAGCAATGCAAAGAAGAGAAGAAAACCCTAATACTACAATAGTAACCTTAAAAGGCAGACTCAGAGGGCAGCAAGGAGGAGGAAAGCCTTTCCAGCTGAGGAAGGGCCTCCCCACTGAAGCCTGCCTGGCAACAGCCTTCTCATTCTGTGGGCACCAGCTTAAGACAGTTCTTTATTTTTTTATTTATAGGCACCTATAACTTCCAAAGCCTTCCTATGCTGAGATACTGAAGACTATTTAATGCCTTTAAAAATTATTCACCCCATACATTTCACTGGTCTTGTCTGTACCATCTATTGCATTATTATTCATGAATGTTTGCATTTTAGAATTTTCTATTTACTGAATATGTTTTACTGAGAGCCAGTGTGGTATAGTGCTATTTCCACGTTCAAGCCCCCACTCAGCCATGGAGCTTACTGGGCGAATTTGGGCCAGTCACAGACTCACAGCCTAACCTACCTCACAGGGTTGTTGTTGAATTATCTAAGCTTCCTTGAGTTCCTAGAAAGGAAAAAAGTGGTATATAAATAAATATAATAAAAAATAATACTCTGCTTTATGAAATGTTGTAAAATGCCCAAAAAGCTTCAGTGATTGGATGGTATGATAATGAAATAACATTTTAAAAAATAATATTTTTAACAGACAGATACAAGCTTCAGACCATTTCACACCCAATAAACATGCATTTAAAACAGGCAATAGCTCCATAGAGCTGAAGATAAAATATTAACATAAAGGCTAAAACTGAGGTAATAATAAAACTTTAAAATTCTTTAAAGGGAGAAAAAGAAGGTGGAAAATTTTTTTTAATAAAACAAGGATTTATAAGCCCATTTATGCACTATATATATTCCTTAAAGTACTGCATTTAATCTGGCAATTCCCCCCACCCCTCTTTTAAACCGGCTGCCTTAACTACAAAGAGAGTGACTCTCTGAGTAAAAATAAATAATAAACCATGATCAGATGCATGGGACACAAAATCTCCCCACCCCCAGCCCTAGTCTTGAAATTATGGCACAAAAGCAGTTGACAAAAGCTGAGCCTTAACTAATAGCCAAATGCTGGCGAAAATAAGTAAGACTGCGCTATTCTGTCCCAGCGTTTGTTTCATCTCACTACTCGCGATGGTGCTGTGATTCCTGTGAGTTCAAAATGCAAAACTACCCAGAGTTATTGTTGTTTTTCAGTTAGGGCTGGCTGAGTTTTGCTGTGGCATTTTTGCACTAACACCCTGGAAAGGTGCACCAGTCCGAGTAAGCAAATGAGACGCCCTGCCTGTAGCAGAGTCAGGTATTATTATTATTATTATTATTATTATTATTATTATTATTATTATAACATTTCTTTGCCGCCCCTTGCCGAAGCCTCGGGGCGGCTTACAACACAATAAGATACATGGAAATAAAATAGAACATAATAAATTACCACTAAATACAAAAATACAAAAAATACACTGAGATACAAACATAATAATATAAAATTAAAATTAACAGTATAAAATAAGTAAATAAAGAATATAGGAGGAGAAAAGAGAAGGAAGAAGAAGTTGCCCTGGCCAGATCATATATTTTAACAATTAAAATGATGTTTAAATAAAAAGGTCTTTACCTGGTGCCGAAAAACCAGTAACGACGGTGCCAGGCGGACCTTTTTGGGGAGTGAATTCCATAGGTTGGGTGCCACCGCAGAGAAAGCCCTCCTCCGAGTACTTACTCTCCTAATTTCTTTCATGGAGGGTTCCCAGAGAAGGGACTCTCCCGCAGATCTCAAGGGGCGGTCGGGCATATACGGACGTAAGCGCTCCAGGCGCCTTTGTAAGTCAGCCAGGACTCTGCTCTAACTGGCTGGGGCCTTTCCCAGCCACCAAGGGAACGCACAGAGATCCAGTGTGGCACAGGGTTGGACTAAACCCAGGAAATTCAGGTTCTACTACCCGCTCATCCACCAATCCGATGGGTTGACTTTGGGCCCATCAATGACCTAGCCACCTCACAAGGTTGTTGCTGTGCAGATAAAATCGAGCGGAAGATTATGTACTCCCCCTTGGGTTCCTCGAAAGAAGGAAGGGGGGTATTATGTAATGCAGTAAGAGGGGGGATAAGGAGCACGGAGGGTGTCTCCCATCCCTGCTGGTGGGGACAAAGCACCCCAGCTGACTTTCTGCCTCTTGGACAGCTGCCCAGGGCAGTGGGGACAGAAGAGGGGCTGGGAGGTGTGTGGGGAGGAGGATACGCAAATGCCTTCCACTTAGCCTCTCTCTGATTCGGCATTATATAAGGTGGTTGGGGTGACCATCCTTAGCTATGTAAGATCAAAGTTGTCAGAGTGCCCGTACCAAGATGCCACCAAGGGAGGGAGTGGGGCTGGAGTGCCGAAACAGCAGGGGAGCACTTCCTCTGATTTGCAGGCCTTTTAAAGTCAACATTTAAAATAAATCACCTGCAGAGGAGCCACTTGTCTCGTGGTTCCCCTTTCCTGGCGGAGGTCAGCCAGGGCACCCCCAGCCAGGGCCTGATGGGCCCCATACTAATCTGTGTATGGTAACCCTTGGAAAATGGGAAAACTTCCCAAATTAGCAGTAGTTGTAGTTGTCGTAGGGGCCCCGGTACACTGCTTTGCTCGGGGCCCATAGTGCCCCCCTCCTTTAATAAACAATGCACCGATGGGCAGGTCTGCAAACCAGACTGATGCCGCCCCCCGAACTTGTGGGCTGCGGGCCCGCCACCCGCAGGGTCCCAAGGCGGCGCCGGGTCGCCGTTCTTCCGGCTGAGCGACGGGCAGCGGGCCGAGGGAGCGCGGGCGCGACGCTTCCTGCAGCCCGCGCGGTCTCCACGGGCTCCGGGCAGCTCCCGCGCGGTGGCGCGCTGCGCGGCTCGCCGCTGCACGCCTGACGGCCCCGCGCGGGGACGTGCGGGCAGCGCGACGGGGTTTCCGGAGGCGACCCCGCAGCCCCCGGCCCGCCTTTCCCCGGCGCGAAGCGTGGAGATGAGGCCACGTGCGTGAGGCGCAACGACCGTCCTCCCCGCGCCTCCTGCGCAGCCGGGATCCCGCACCGTGCGTCGAGGCGAACAGCAGGGCGAGCGATTCGGACGGGAGCCCCGCTGGGTTCAGAGGGGCGTCCCGCCAGTCCGGCGGGTATGGGATGGCAGCCCCAAAGCACGCTGCAAGCCCTGCTCCCCCCACCGCGCCCGAGGTGGCACGGGGATGGTAGGACTTGTAGTCAAGCAGCCCTCTTAAGCGTCCAGTGGAAGAAGGCTGCTGCTGAGCATCCCAGGACCGCTGCGAATGCGTGGGCGGAAATTTCGGGCCAGCTCTTTCCTTGGATTTCTAAGAAACCCCAAAACAATCCTCTCTGCACCAGAGCCTTGAAAAATGGACCTTGACGAGGGCGGGAGGTGGGGGGCACAGCGTGTCCATACATGACAGACCATAAGGGCCCCATCGGAAAATCCGAAACTAAAACAATGCATTTACAGTATTGGACAGTTATCACGGATGCCCATGGTTTGAATTAACCAGGTATTACAGGTCTAATCAGCGTTCGTTTGAATACAACTCTTTTGCGAACCGTCTGGCTGTAGAAGAGAAGTCCTTTTTGCTGGGGAGGGCCTCTAACAGTATGTTCAGGCACCTTCTCTGATTTTCCTGCCATCGGAGAGTCTGGGATAATCAGTTACTCGGTACAGCCAGCTGCAAAGAAAATTCGAACACCCTCCAACTCTGCGCCCATTGAAATACCATCTTACTGCTTTCGACTTTCTCGGCCGATTTGGAAAGACCTTTGAATGACTCGCAGTGGCGGTTTAGGGGGGTCGAGTTCATTCACCTGGGAAGGGCCAAATCCTGGCATGATCAATTCCACGGTAAAATCCCGGTCCTGAGTCCTTTGTGGCAACATTTCTGGAAGTTGAGCAGGCGGATCCAGGGACAAAACGCACTAGCGTGTGCTTCGCTTCGCCTGTTTCTACACAAGCAAGACCGGCGATTCCTGCACGCAGAGACGTTCCCAGGATCGGGCTGCCAAAAGGCTCCAATCCCACAGGCAGGAAGTCTTCTCGAGGGGCAAGCGCCCTCGAACTAAGCGGGACAGACTTTCGAGTTAGACGTGCATCTGAAATTCCCCTTGTCTAGAGACTTTTCGCCCGTCTAGCCTAGGACGAACGGGGCTTGCTCCCGAGTAGATGCACACAGGGCGCAATCTTATGCGTCTTTAGCCAGATAAAAAGCCCTACAGCTCCCAGCATCCCCTAGCCAGCTGGGGGATGCTGGGAGTTGTAGGACTTCTCTGTTTCAACATGCCTAGGATTGCTTCCCTCGGTCAGTCACTGAAAAGACGGCATCGCAGCATATAGACAGTGCAAGCGAAATATAAATCTCCATTTAACATGTCCAGTGACCACCCGATCTTTCAGACTTCCACGTCCTTCTTTCAGGAGGATAAAGTTAAGAGTTAACTAGCGGGGCACAGACACACAAGCGCACAGGTACTAAGAAGAAATGCGTGCAGAGAGAATAAGAGAAAAGACGCTTTAATTAATAAAGAAACGCGGACGGCATTTTAAGAGACTCGCCAAGCTGGGATAGTGGGACGTGGAGGGGGGACGGGGGGAGGGAAAGCGAGAAATGTGCGCTTGAATTTTCGCGTCCAAAACTTTCTCCCAAATCCAGGGACCCTGCCAAAGAAGCAGCGGCTGGTTGTATCGTATGCAAATATGCAAGCTGACGTAAGAGATCATGTGGGTTTTGGCGTAGATCGCCACCACCGATCGGAGAGATTTATATTATTATTATTACTATATTTTATTTTATTTTTAAAATTGCGGCTGGGGGTCTTTGGGGGGAAGGAAGGGGGAAGTGTTTGGAAAGGGAGTCCCGGCGCCGGGCTCCGCGTTCTCGAGGGCGCACCGAGAGTTCCCTTCTGGGTGGGGGGCGAGAAAGTTCCGCGTCTCGGCGCTCCAAAGCTTTGATCACAGGTAAGAAAAACTTCGCCCTCCGTTCTCCTTCCTTCCTTCGTTCGCCCGCCCGCCCTTCCTTTAAAAAGAAAAAGAAAAAAACCACCGCCAGACACTCTCTAAATTTAAAAAGCGAGCGAGCCTTTTAAAAAGGGAGCAAAGGAACTGCGGATTCCTTGCAAAAACAGGATTTGGTTTCCCTTTGCCACATGCACTTCGCCGCTCTCGCCTTTACCCTGAGCCAGTCGGCAGGGCAACCTACTTCGACCTAACTTTTCCTTCTTTTCTCGTCACCTTCCATCCACCCCCAAAGAACCTTCGTGTTTTGTTTTAGGAGGACTGGAGCTGGGAACAGAGGGAGGGGCTTTGGGGAGGGCTAGGAAGGTAGCAAGCAAGAGGATAGGAATAAAATCGGATTTTAAAAAAATAGAGAGCGATATTTGGGGAGGGGGCAACGCATCCTTTCGCTTTCTCCTTCTCTTCAACGCAAGTGGGGAGGGGGCTGTTGGGGGAGGCAGCTGCATGCAAAGCCGAAGGGGGGAAGGAACCCGAGGTCTCTTTCTTAAAAAAAAAAAAAGAAAGAAAAATATGTCTACGTTTCCCTATGTCGACATCAGCAACACAAAATATGGCGTCCGCTTTCGAGAGGGCGTTACGTAGAGGCGAGGAAGGCGATCTTGGAAATCCAGGCTTGGAGAAAAGACCCTCGCCCCTCCCACTGCCAAATAGCTTTTTTCAGCACTGCAACGTCTGGGGAGAACGGTGTGAAAAGCAGCGTCCCTGTTTCCCAGGGCGCCTCCTAGAACACGAGGCTGCGGGGGACAGAGAAAGGGAGAAAAGTGAGGGGGGGCAGAGCCCTCCAGGCTGTGCATTGGCACAGATTTGGGCTTGGATTCCACGCGCGCGCGCGCGCGCACACACACACACACACACACACACACAATTCGTCCTTAATGTGGCATGCCGGCTCCATGACGCGCTGGGTTGCAGCCTCTTTTTCGCTCCCCTCCCGACTCCCCCGCTGCAGAGGGAGAACCGGTAATGGCAGAATGAGGCGTTGTATTTTAGCATTTTTAATAGGAAATAGTGAGCCTGTACAACCATCTTTAGAGGGGCAACATTAAAACAAAAGCGAAAAGCTCTGCCACTTCAGCCCTCTCCCTCCATTCCAAAATCTTTCCCCAAATCTTATGATACTAGGGGGAGAGAGAGCTTCCCCTATAGCACACCCCTGTTAAAACCCCTTTTCCAAAGTCTTGTCAAATGCCTGATGCTTTCGAGCGCCGCTTTAAAAAAAAGTTATCCTAACCGTTGTTGGTTTCACTTCTGTTTTGTTCCTGTTCCAAAGATCTCCATACTCAGGAAATCCTTTCTGAACATGTGCTGTTCTTTCCATCCCCTTTGGACAGACATCCAGGTTAAGAGGTTTCCTTTCTTTTATTGTCTTTTCTTTTTGGCAATCAGCTTTATTTTCAAAGGATCTGTATGCCTTTCTTGCTTTGCTGGCTGCTTTACACTAGAGAAGGAAAGTAACAAAGCTTCACACGCACTCTGCTTCATGATAAAAAGTTTTTTGGGGGGCTGTCTTGATTTTCAAGGAAGTGAAGTTATGATTTGCTGAGAAGTTCCACCTGATTGATTGACTTCAAAGCCATGTGAGGTTCTGTGCCCTGAAGAATTTCCTGATTGCCTTTTGTTTGCTTGGCGTGGGAATTCAATCTGCTACACTTCAATTTGCTATGCAACTGGGTGGTTGGTTGTCCTTTTCTTCTGGTTCTTGCTTAAAGGCATATTGCTCCTTTTTGTTGTTCAGGTTTTCTGACCCCTGGTGTGGGTGAGGTTTATCTCATGCTCTTTGTCTCATCCATCGATGCAGAATCTGGGTGTAGAGAAGAGGGGGTGCATCACTTCCAGAGCTGTGCAGGTCCATTATAACAAAAACAGAAGAGTGATGTGGCCCTTAAGCATTAGCAAATGTATTATGCCATCACCCTTACTGTGTCACAAAGCTAGGGTCCAGTTTATTAAATGCATGAAGTAGCACACTCTATAGGAATAGGCACAAACACACAAACAAAGAGACAGATAAAAAGAGAAATATGTAAGCAGTGGAATCCAATGTTCATGAAATGTTAAAAGCACAGGCTGTGACTAGTTCAAGCTTAAATGTGTGCCACATAAGCACAGTGACCACTCAGATATGTGACTGTTCCCATCATCAGTCATTGGTGATGATACAATAATTACAAATTACCCAGTGGCACCTCAAAGTTAGTTGTGTTGGGATCGCTGTTGGAATGACCAAAAAAAAAAACAGCTTGGAAAACAGAAGCTTCTGAATATCCACGACTCCACCAGGTTCTTGTCCCAGCAGGGCAGGATTTTCACCTTTCCTTCCTCCTTAACTTCACATTTCACTAGATGGAATTCTGAGCCCATCTAACTGAGCAGTGCTTGTGGAAGCAGGAGCTGAAAGGCTTGTGTTGCATCTGCAGAACCCCTCCCTGCTTCATCCCCAGTCCATACGTTTTCTATCCTCATAAAGTTGCAATGCACATTTAAAACACAAGAAGAGCTGTGCTGGATCAGGCCAAGGGTCTGTCTTGTCCTGAGTTTTGTTTACACAGCTGCCCACAGGAAACTCACAGGCAGGACCTGGGTACCACAGCAAGCTCCCATCCAAGACATACTGCCTCATATTTAGACATATTGCTTCAGATGTTGGAAGGATCATATATGCATTAGAAAACATAGAAACACAGCGAGTCAGAAGGGGCTTCCAGGCCATCTAGTCTGACACCCGGTTCCAGCCGTCTGCACTCATGTAATACCCAACATGTGGTTGTCCACTCTTTCCTTGAGCACCCTCACTGATGGGCCCCCACCACCTCCTGTGGAAGCCCATTCCATATCCTAGGGGTCCTGACTGTCAGGAAGTACTTCTTAACATCCAACCTGAAACCTGGTTCCCTGAGCTTTGCCCCATTAGATTGAATCCTGTCCTCCATCACAGGGGAGATCAGGTTTCAACCCTCTAGCGTGTGACACCCCTCTGAGTATCCACTTTTTAAGGCTGAAAAGATCCAGCTCCCTCAATTTTATCTGATATGGTATCCCCCCCCCCAAAAAAAAATCTGGTTACCATCCTTGTGACCCTGTGCTGAACTGATTCTAGTCTAGCTATGTCTCTCTTACAATGTGGAGTCCAGAACTGGACACAGTACTGCAGTTGTGGGCACACCAAAGTATTATAGAGTGGCACGAACACTTCTCTTGATCTATAAACTACGCTTCTGGTTATACATCCAGGGGTGGTGTTTACCTTAACAGCTGCATCACATTGTTGGCTCATCTTTAGCCTGCTGTCAACAGGCTCCCTGAGATCCCTTTTACAAGTGCTGCTCTCCAGCCACTTGTCCCCCATCCTGTACCTATAGCACCTACTGCTGCTTCTCAAGTGCAAGACCTTGCACTCATTTGCATTAAACACCATCCTGTTGTCCCCTGTCCACTTCCACAGTCTGCCCAGATCCTTTTGAATCTGCAATACCTGCTCCCCAGTTGTGGCCACTGCCCCCACTTTGGTATCATTCACAAATGTGGTTAGCAGACTGGTTACCTTCTCAACAGAATCATTTCCAGATTTGAGTCCTGGGGAACTCCACTCATCACCAGCTGCCATCCTGTTGGTTTGCGCTGATAGTCACTCTCTGCTTGTGGTTCACCAGCCATGCCCTAATCCATCAGGCAGTGCATTGATCTGTCCCAAAGCTAATCAATTTCTCAACCAGGATCTCATGTGACACCTTGTCAGAGGCCCTGCCAAAATCCAAGTAAACCACATCCACCACGTCCCCTCTGTCTAGCCACATGAAACCTTGTCATACAATTCCGCAAGGTTTGTCTGGCAGGGCTTACTTTTGTGGAAGCCATGTTGTGGGTTTCCAGAGCTTGCTTTATTATTAGCATTTCTATTAACTTACCCAGAATGGACATTAGGCTAACTGGCCTGTAATTCCCCTTGTCTCCTTCGCTACGTTTTTTGCAGATTGGGACCACTGATGCTACCCTCCAACACTTCTCCTGATTTCCACAAGGCCTCAAAAATTAAGACCAATGGATGCGAGAGTACCCCTGCCAATTCCCAAAATACTGTCTGGTGTAACCCATCATGACATCCAGGGCCCTGAGGAGCTCCTCAACTATGAGGGGAATGACTCTAAACTGTACTCCCATAACCACAACCTCTGCACCAATTTGTCCAATCTTTTATTTTTAAACCAACCACATTGGTGATCATGACTCATGGGAGTGAATTCCATAGTTTAGCTGTGTGATCAAGTCCCTCCTTCCATCTGTCTTGATTTTCCCACCCATCAACTTCATGGGATGAACCCATTGAGTTCTATATTATGGGAAAGGGAGAAAAATGTCACCAGCTCCAGTTTCTCCTTTTCAAGTTCCATCACAGAACAAGTTCCATAGGTGGACTAGCCTGGTTCCATTTTGGAACTAGAATAGATCATCAAATGTAAGCATGTTTCACTGGAGGCCAAGGCCAAGATCATTCACACTATTCTGTTCCCAATCACTATGTATGGTTGTAAAAACTGGACAGTGAGGAAAAACGATAGGAAGAAAAGTGATGCATTTGTAACCTGGTGCAGGAGGAGAGCTTTGTGACTATGCTGGACTGATAGAATGAGAAATAAGTGGGCCCTAGATCAAATCATGCCAGAACTTGCCCTAGAAGCAACAAATGATTAAATTAAGGCTGTTCTGCTTCAGGCAATCTTGAGAAGACAAGGCTCAGTGGAAAAGACAATCATGCCAGGGAAAGTCAAAGACAGAACAGGACAACCAACTATGAGATGAACTGATCACACAACAGAAGGCACAGCCTTGAGTGTATAAAAGCTGAGCAGGGCTGTCAAGGCCAGGATAGTCATACAGTTGCCATAAGTTGGAGACAACGTAACAGCGCGTAACAACAACATCCTCTTTTTCTACACCATCCATAA